ATTTTGTTATCTTGGGTCAGGGCTATGGCTGTACTTTGTACAGTAATGCGTATACACGCGTGAAAGACGAGAAGAATGAAAAGGCAGGGAGAGATGAGTCGTGCGAGAATGATAATTGCTCGGTGATTAAGACGTGATGTCGTCGAGGTATTTGCCGACCTAAAGTATAAGGCTTGTCGTAGTCGGTATTACCTAGCGCGCGACCATCTACGGGAAGACCGGTAATCCCATGCGTGGAGCTGCGAGTCTCTTTTTCTTTTTAAAGATAAAACAAAGAAAGCCGACGTTGCGATTTCTATCGCTAAGTGTTGAGATTAATTGTTTGTCTTTGAATTTTTTAAATTCCCGCTCTATAGTCCAACAAAGGACTATAAATAAACCTCGTGGACAGCTTACTTGGCTGCTGGTCTTTTACGTCGCGTTAGCCGTGCACTGGGCTTAATGTAAATCTTGTATTAGCTTGCTATTGTATGCCTGTATTTACCTTTTCTCGTGATGCAATCCGTTTGATCTGCCGTACCGACTGGTATTCCTGTTTGCTGTCGCCACCTATCAATATAGAACTGTAAGCGCATTGTGGTATACCGTATTGTTCTCGGGTTTCGTCGACGCGGGAGTACGGCGAAACTTTGTAAATACGCCACCCGCTGCTGTACGCAGCTTGTGCCCAAGAGGAGCTGCGACAAGTTACTATGCGAAAAGTATCGCGATGCCACGTTGCATTTTGTGTAAATGTCAAGCGTCATGAATGTGTACGACTGAGCGGAGCAGGAGTTTGGTCTCCGGTTTGGTCTGTAACAGCCCTCCTTTCGTCATCGAAACGTGACGGAATGAAAAACATCGTAAGAACGCGAGCGGCTATTGTACCAGGACCTAGCAAGGAAGAGAGAGAGAGGGGGAGAGAGAGAGAGAGAGAGAGAGAGAGCGAAGCGAGGAAAGGAGAGAATGCTCTTAAGAGTCGAAGGAAAAAAAAGGCGTGGCTACCTTCTGGTACTTCCATACTGACAATGAATAAGGTCGTACACCTCAAAGTTCATCTGGCTCTTTTACGAAGTCTCAGCATCTACAGAAACAACTCACTCGGGTCAACGGTTGGGTGCGGGAAGTTAGACCCCCTTAATTCGAAAATTCCGGTTCTACTTGTTGTTCTGGCTTGTTCTAAGTTTGTTCTATGATGTTCCAGAAAAACAAGTTTCTCAACTGAAATTTGTAGCGATGAGGCGAAAAAAAAACACTTTTTTTACTGGAACCCCCGACTTATGGAAAATCAAACTTTTTTTGTTGTTCCAGATTGTTCTAGTTGTTCTAAATACTGTTCCAGAATATTAATACCGATAAGTAAAGAATACTCGAATGGGATAAAAAAAAACGTTTTATACATAGCAAGTAGATATAGGACCATTTCGAACGATTTCCAGATTATTCCAGCTTGTTCTAGGTTTTCCTAGGTTTCCGTAGGTTTCCGTAGGTTTGCGTAGGTTTCCATAGATTGTTCCACGTTGTTCCACGTCTTACCACGATGAGGTAGGGCAGTCACATAAAACCAGGGAAACACTGGAAAAACTGAGAAGGACGAACGCTCTCAGAATAGCATGTAGATATAGGACCATTTCGAACAATTTCCAGGTTATTCCAGCTTGTTCTAGGTTTTCCTAGGTTTCCGTAGGTTTCCGTAGGTTTACGTAGGATTCCCTAGGTTTTTCTAGGTTTTTCTAGATTGTTCCACGTTGTTCCACGTCTTATCACGATGAGGTAGGGCAGTCACATAAAACCAGGGAAACACTGGAAAAACTGAGAAGGACGAACGCTCTCAGAATAGCATGTAGATATAGGACCATTTCGAACAATTTCCAGGTTATTCCAGCTTGTTCTAGGTTTTCCTAGGTTTCCGTAGGTTTCCGTAGGTTTACGTAGGATTCCCTAGGTTTTTCTAGGTTTTTCTAGATTGTTCCACGTTGTTCCACGTCTTACCACGATGAGGTAGGGCAGTCACATAAAACCAGGGAAACACTGGAAAAACTGAGAAGGACGAACGCTCTCAGAATAGCATGTAGATATAGGACCATTTGGACCGATTTCCAGGTTATTCTAGGATGTTCCAGCTTGTTCTAGGTTGTTACAGTTTGCTCCAAGTTATTCTCGGTCTATGGATGATTGTTCTAGAATTGTATAACGATCGGATAGTCGCAAGTCGAATAAAAGTAGGAAGAAACGATTTTATATGCATAAAACGTTTTTTAATCCCATTCGAGTATTCTTTACTTAGTGGAAGTAATATTATAGAACAATATTTAGAACAACTAGAATAACCTTGAACAACAAAAAATTTGATTTTCCATAAGTGGGGGGTTGTGGTAAAAAAGTGATTTTTTCGCCTCACCGCTACAAATTTCAATCGAGAAACTTGCTTTTCGGGAACATTGTAGAACAAACTTAGAGCAACTCAGAACACAAACAACGGAACCGGAATTTTCGAATTATGGGGGGCTAACTTCCCTGTCTTTCAACGTTTAGCTTTCAAGTAGACGAAGAAGCTGCGCTTACTGGGAGTGCGCGCCTGCATCTCGAGCACTCTTCGTCGCTCGCGCGACCAAAACTTGGCGACTGCCCTGCGGTCTTGAGACGAACAATTTTTTAAGCACGATTTTCAATATTTTGAAATAATCGTATAATCCCTTTTCTGTTTATCTGTTCGTTGCGAGGCCACCTTGTAATTTACTTAATGATCTTTTTGTACTGAGAATCGCAGCATATATTCGTTTACATGTGTACGCCTTGAAAATTCTGTGTGTGCATTTCCATGTAACTGCAACTTCTGACACGCTTTAATTGCATTGACAGTGACGTGCGAGCGTGGTCACTGCAGGCGCGTTTCTAACCGCAAAATGTTACGTGC